CCTTGGAACCTAGCCCAAGTTGGAGCACGCCCCAAGAATATAGATAATACGGCTCTGTTCGGCTGGCTAAAAAAATGGCTGATGGTGATGCTAATTTGTTGGGAAAGAAAAACACTGTTATTTCGCTGAAACGGTACGGCTAATAAGTTCAAGCGAACATAGCCTACATCAAGGAAGCACTTGGATGTCCTCCTTCTTGTCACCTCCTTAGGAGGCCAGCAAGGGCGTCCAAGCCAAGCCGAAGGCCCAATCCAACTCGACTTCGAGTCTGTCTCGACCTTTAGTACCATCCTGTAGTAAAACGGACGCCCAGGACGTATCCGAACTCCGTTTTCGATGGTCCACATATAGATAGAAAGATAATTTCATAAGATAACCAGTGGATTTAGTTTGAGGTCCAAATTCCACCGGAGATGGCAATCGTTGAAATAAGTCAGCATCTTGCCAGGGTGCTGCGTCACAGTCTTTGCTCCGGTGGGACTGTGTATCGTCTTTGAGCCCGTTAGGGGGCGCGTCCAGGGGGAGTGACGACCTTATCAGTCGTCGTCGCCATTGTTAGGTTTTGGTTTTTTGTTTTAGATTAATCTGTCTTTGAACAGTCGTTGTTATCGGTTTGTGAAACCCTACATTGAGATCCTAATCATACATGCATCTGCAAATTGTCACTTTACTTGAGTTGCCTTTTATCTTGTTCTTGCTTGTGTTCTTTGATTCGCAGCAGGGATTAGCCTTCTCGGCAACATCACCCGAATTGTGATACGGTTGATAACCAGAGGAGATGTGGTGCTAAGGTTGTAGGGTTCAGGTCTTTTGATCTGAAGCCGGATCGGTGTGTCGCTGTCCACCAAATCGATAGTTATCTTGAACCTGGCGCAAGATCGGGAACCACATCCCCATCATTGTACTAAGGAAAAATATGGATTTAGAATGGTATGACTATGTTCTATGCACACATTGTTGAAGCTTTAGATCATCTCTTCATTTATTGTTTTTTGCATTGCCAAGGCCTGCTAGAGTTTGGTTATTGAGAAAATTTCCTATTTGACACTAGAAAAAGGGTAAAGTCCACTTTAGGACCTCCAACTATCGTAGAAGTATGGATTTCAACCTCCAACTTCAAAACCGGATAACATTGGCCCTCCAACTCTCGAAAAAGTTCACTTTAGGACCCTGGCCGGTTTCCCAGACGGTTTTGCATGGCACTGTAGCAGTGCTGACGTCAGCGATGACGTCAGCACTCCTTTTTAATTTACAAAATTGATATCTTTTTATTCGGAGCTCCAAATATAGCAAATAATATATCAATTTTGATCGTCTCGACGAGCTCTTTGCAATGGTGTACTCCGTTTTGTTGTTTGAGATAATTTTATTTCATGAAAAAATAAATATTTCTACAAAACAAGTTATGCAATTAAGCTGACGTATGCAAGTATTTTATATACTTTGTATATTTATATATGTACAACACCAACGTAGTCAGTATATAAAACAGGGAGTTGGACGGTCAATCGACACGCCACGATCGCTAGATATTTTTGAATTAACCTTCCCTAGCTGCGGTTAACTAACTGTCAACATATGACACGATCAAACGATATGTTTACTGCTCCTAGTGTAGTTTTTTTTTCTGTTTTTGTGGTGAAATTAAGTAACTAGTGGTAGTAGTAGTATTTTATTTATCTTGTACCCAAATCCGATATAGTATACGATTCATGTACACCTGTCATTTTTCCTTTCCTATGGCTACTATTGTAGCATTACAGAGGCCGGACGACCATTCGGCCGAATTTGCACGATCTGCTTTCTGGTGGCATGGCATGAGTATGACCGCATGAAGTGGCAAGTGGATAGCTAGATTGAATTGAGGGGCGGTAGCAAAGCAATAGTGAGTGGCTTACTCGTGGTCTAGAATCTTGTGCGGCATCGGTAAGTTGAGCGTGCCTCATGGGGAAGGTCGTCCGGCGAGGATCTCCGTGGCGTCGGCGTTGCGGTGCGCCTCGTCGCCTCGCGCGCGCCCGACGCGAGGTGGCAGACACTGCAAGCGTAAGCTCGTGTCGTGCAGCCGAATCCGAGACGGGACACGGCGCCCTTGTTGAATTATTGCAGAAATATTTTGAATTATTGCAGAAATATTTGCGGACCGGGCGGACACGAAGCAGAAATATTTCTACAAAACAAGTTTTGAATTATTGCATTTCAAAAATGGTCAAACTTATATATTCTAGGGTCAAATGAACCTAAAAAGACAACATTTCGTGTTACATAATAATAAAAATATTATTTATCTAACAAATTCCACGAGTTCTGTTATTCTAACTTGTTTTGTAGAAATATTTATTTTTTTCATGAAATAAAATTATCTCAAACAACAAAACGGAGTACACCATTGCAAAGAGCTCGTCGAGACGATCAAAATTGATATATTATTTGCTATATTTGAAGCTCCGAATAAAAAGATATCAATTTTGCAAATTAAAAAGAAGTGCTGACGTCATCGCTCATGTCAGCACTGCTACAGTGCCATGCAAAACCGCCAGGGAAACCGGCCAGGGTCCTAAAGTGAACTTTTTCGAGAGTTGGAGGACGAATGTTATCCGGTTTTGAAGTTGGAGGTTGAAATCCATACTTCTGTGATAGTTGGAGGTCCTAAAGTGGACTTTACCCCTAGAAAAACTTCCGCTGTCCTATTTCACACATAAAATTAAAATCTTTCCTATTTGTCACCCTTTTCATTTTTCCTTTCCTTTTAGATGCTTCTGTTACTTGTTAGAGTTGTATAATGGTGTTAAGTTCCAGATGAAAAGTTTGTGATGACCCGAAAGAAAACATGGGCAAAACAGTCTTTCTGTCTAGGACATAACACTGTTACCACTCTAAAGTAACAAGTTTCAAATAGGAAAGAAAAAATAAAAGAGGTGACAAATAGGAAAGATTTTAAGTTTGGGTCTCAAATAATAGGAAAACAAGTTTTTCTAGTGTCAAATAGGAAATTTTCTCTTAGTTATTAGTCTTCTTCAATGTTCTACCTATCATCTGAGCTATCTCAATGCAGAGGGAGGGGAGGAGCTCGCCAGGGGAGCTGCCTGTCACGGCCTCATCAGGGCTCGTCGTAGCCTCGACGGGGTTCTCGTAAGGGACCGCCGGGGGAGTCGCTGGCCGAGGGAGCGAGCTCGCCGGGGGAGCTGCTGGTCAAGGGAACGGCCTCGCCGTGGGAGGCGCTGGCCAAGGGCGCCACTCACGTGGGGAAGTTGCTGGTCGAGGGAGCAGCCTCGCCGGGGGAGGCGTTGGCTGAGGGCACCGCTCGCTGGAGGAGGAGCTAGTCGTGCCCTCGCCGCTCGCCGGAGGAGGAACTCGTCGCGGCCACATCAGGGAAGCCATGCGCCGTTTGGCTCGTCGGGGTCGCGGCCTGGGAGGAGCGACAGCTCCAACCGGAAGCGAGGGAGAAGGAGGAGGCCGGACGTAGGAGGAGGGGCGCCACAACGGGATCCAGACGCAGGAGGAGGAGTGGCTCCCACCCGATCTGGGCGGAGGAGGGGGTGCTGCGACAGGAGGTGTTCAGCGGACCCTTCCTCACCGGATTTGGACGGCGCTTGGTGGAAACGTTAGGGAGTGGAGGGCACGGGGAGGGAAGAGAGCGAGCGCGGGAGCGAGAAAAGCAGCCAACTGCAGGATGGGGGCTAACGGGGCTAGTTTGAGGGCCACCCAAATTTGAGGCCTTGAGTAGAGGCCCTGTTAGAATTGTGTTTTTTGGGTAAGCCCTCAAATTTTAGTTTAGGAGGTTAGCTAGTTTGAGAGCATATGATCCAAATTTATGTCCTTGGACACCTGTTACAACTCATCAATGTCCTATCCGTGACTAAATTGTACACATATTCGACACTTGCATTTAATGTCTTGTGGATCGCCTGCTGAGCAGAACTAACATAGTAGCAGTTACTCCTGCTATGGACTTTGATTATGAAATGGACATGGATTATGAAACATATATGAAATGCCAATCCATTACAAAAATTTAAAACATTTTGATGTTTCTATATATATATATATATATATATATATATATATATATATATATATATATATAATGTATATCTAAGTGTATAGTAAAAACTATAAATCTAGAAAAGCCAAAATGACTTATAACTTAGAATTGAGAGAGTATTCACTGCACAAGCGCACGCATACTCTGATTTTATATCTGTGGTCAATAAATCAGGAAGAGTTAAACTTTATTAGAATGGACTTTTTAATGCCGACCGGCAATATAGCAGACTGACAAACTCAGATCACCTGAAACACATTCGCAAAAAAAAGATCACCCTTGAGTGAGACACATGACTAGGCAGGCCCCTGATACATAAATATAGCTCTAAACTCTCTTGCTAATGCTGCCTAGTCCAAGCACGAACAGCAGCAGTAAACAAATCCAAACCGAAAACAGTGCTCCTCCCACCACACTGGAAACAAAGTCATGCAATGCAAGTGCCTGCTCGGTTCACCTCTAAAATTTACCAAACTAAGGATTTGGCAAACCATAATTTTAACTAGTATTTGGTTGCCTACCAAAACTTATCAACTTCTCACATTTAACTTGCCAAATCTTTGGCAGCTTTATTTATCCAACTTTGGAATGCCAAAACTTTGGCATGGTAAATTTTGGTCATGAACCAAACAAGCCCCAAGTAACAATGCTGCAACGCGTGCGTGTGCGTGCACGGTCACAGCAGGCAGGGAGAGGGTGGCCCTAGAACGCGAGCGCGGCCGCGACCACGGCTGCCGCCGCGGCCACCACGCAGCCGACCAGGTTCCTCACGGCCGCAGACTTCGGCGGCGGCGGTGGGGGCGGGGCGGTTCCCGAGAACGGCCAACCGAACGGAGGTGGGGGTGGGGTTCCCGCCAACTGAACGGAGGTGGGGCGGGGCAGCTCCCGGAATGGGAACGTGATCACCGGCGGTGGGGTGGGGCGACGTCATCGTCGTCGACCACGTCGATGGCGAGCTTCATGCCCCCTTGAGGCAGTGGTTGCGCTTGGTGCAGATGAACCACATCTTGCCGGGCTTGTCGAGCCGCACGACGTCGTGGCCGGAGCACGAGGCCCCGAGCTGGTTGTCGTCGTCGTCATGGTTGCACGTAGCGAAGTCTTCCTCGCCGACCTGGACCACCGTGTGTTTCCCCTTGGGGTACTTGAACACTGCGAAACAATAATGGGGTTAAGTCCAACGAAAAAAAAGAAATATATATATATATATATATATATAGTGCGTGTGCATGGTGATGGTGTTATTGTCGATCGTCTCGTGCGTACGCAGGGTGTCGCCGACCACGAACGTCTTGCCGTCGGCCCAGCCGGTCTGGTTGAACTTGGCCCTCCAGCCGCATTCGTCCCCGACCACCCACTGCGTGGCGGAGGCCAGCGACGCGAGGCACGCGACGGCGGCGACCGCGGCCAGGAGAAGCACTTGCTTGGAGGACGCCATTGGTCGTTGCCGCTTCGCCGTCGTCCCCTGGCGAGCAGCTAACTAACTAAGGCTGCTTCTGTGCCCCTTGCCACGCTATATTACCCTTTGCTGCAGCTGCTGATGTAGCTTGGCAAGCAGGAGTGACACTCGGGTCTATTTATACAGCAGAAAGGCACATCAGTGGCGCATCACAGTACTAGATCGAACATGCTGTTGTGATGAGGTAACGCCACTCGTCTGCAGGGGGAGCCGCTCGTCTCGTCTGCAGCTAGCAGCAGCAAAGGGCATCGGTAGCGCCACAGGAATGGACTGTACGTTGTTTCTCTCTATGCAGCTGATAAAAGCGAGGTGAAATTTGCCACGGCATTAGGGCCGCATCGCAGGGAGGCATGCATCCATGGCAGGTGGCAGCCACATCGTGTTTCCCCCTGACGATTCGTCGCGCGCCCCCAACCCCAACAGGTTCCAGCGGGTTGGTGACGCTTTCCTGGCGATTCATTTGTTTTGCTGATAGCTCCGTTGCTTCTTCTGTCCCGTCCCGTGTAATAACCTGGCTATATCTGTCTTAATTAGCTTCTCGGGTTAATAATCATAGTGTACTGCTACTCCCTCCGTCCCCAAATAAATCAATTCCTGACTAACTTTATAGAAAAGATTAACAACATATATGACATAAAATGAGCACCTTATGAAAATATATTATACGATAAATCTAATAATACTAATTTTTTGATACCATAAATCTTAATGTTTTTTTTAATTCGGTCAAAGTTGAAAAAGGTTGACTTAAGACAGCTCTAAAATCTATTTATTCAGTTGTTGCAATGGACGGCTTCTTGGCGGTTATATATTCTTTATCCACAATTCAAATAAAAAATAACTGACAATTCCTTCTACAATGGTTAACGTTTTGTTGAGAGCTATACTAGCTAGTAATGCATAATGTCAGGTATTCATGACGGATGCCATGCCGTAAAAACCATACACTACTAAAAAAACGCTCGTGTACTATTAGTCATCTTGTTTGTAACTAGTAGTGGAGCTGGGCTAGCCCAACGCCCGTGGCCATTCCATGGGCTGATTTTACTAGATGAATTGGGATTCTTTGGAACAGTTTGCTATAGCATAGAAAACATGGCCTAATGGCTAGTGCCATTGCCCCAGTGGCCCTAGGCTTATCTCCACCAATGTTGTTTGAACCATGAAAGCTATGTCTATAACCATACATGCACTTGTACAATAGCAAAATGAATTAAACATGCCTTTGGATGGTGGGAGCACGGAGCAATACGATCCCGAAACAAGTCGTTTTAGAGCCACAGGGCCAATTTCGACAAAACTTACCCTGCTGCCCCATTAGCTCCCCGTGCTAAATGTCAGCCTGTTCGTTGTAGCTTTTCTACAGGACCTGTGTGCTGCGGTGGCTGTGGATTTCAGTTGTAGCGAATAGGATCGCTTCGTAGGTGGAAGTGGTGGTCCGTGCGCCAGTCTCAGTCGAAGTTTCAACAGAGTTTCATTTGCATTTAATTTAACTAGTCTATCAACCTGTGCTCTCGCACGGGTTAAAATCTTAGGAGTCAATATTTACTCTTAAGTATCATGATGGCATATAAGCAATCATTTTAAGCCTACACTATGTCACATAGGATTAGTGGTAGAGCTTGATTTGATATCTATGATGGGGTAGCTGTGCCTGATGATATTAATATTTAAGCCTTATATAATTGTTTACTTGAAAATAATCTCAAAGAGTAAGAAGATGTAGGCACCTATGGTTTGTACTAACCTCCTCCTTTTCTCAAGATGTTTGTTTTTTATCAACAAATTTTTTATGTAGTAATAGTTACATTATCAATATGGATATGTCAAACATTTTAGTTAATATATATACATATCTCTCTCGTGTGTGTGTGATTTTCATGATGGTGGTGGCACAACATGCATGTTTACTTTAATCCATTTTTAATGTATTAATATTTAAAAATGGACATTGCAAAAACATATTTGTGCTCATGGTTATTTAAACATTTTTTGATAAGCAAATAAAATTATAGTAAGCTATAGATAATTTAGGTACAAACATAAATATGTTATTTTATATTATCTTTCATAATGTCATATTGTAACATGATTTTATAGAGCATAGAGTGCTTAAAATTAAATTATTACAAAATTTATATATTGTAATATTTCTGTCAAAATATGTACACTTATCTTGAATAACAATTTGATGCTTGATAAGTTACTAAAATAAATAGTTATCCTAATGTATACATGTTTACTTGGTCTATATGGTGGAACATAGTATTATGCTTATTTTTGACTTAACAGTTGTAGATGTATATAATTTAGAAATATATATAGGTACTTCATAGATAATCTTTTGTGATAGCTTATATTAGTAGTTATACAGTGCATGTGGTGTCTATTTTAATTTTATTGTATGTATGCTTCATTAACTGAGGAATTATTATGTAGGCATAATAGTAGATTGTATGTTTACACAGGAGTTGCCTTCCAAAATGGCTCAAACTGACTAAATGGTATATGGTTGTAGTAGCAACTTTATATACGGGTAGTTTGGCACACGCATGTTTCTTCTTTATTGGTTTTAATCATCTGGTATGTTATTAATAGATTAACAAACCATGAATGTGATGGGTCCTGTGTATATTGTTTGTGGTTTTGACATTGCCTCTAATACTTTATTAATAGATCCTTAAATGTGATGGGTCCTACATATGATATTTTATATTAATATTAATACATTAACCAAGTGAGCATGATTGGTAGGCTAATCTAATATTTTATATTAATCATCTATGAACGAACATTTGTAAGGCAAAGTTTTTTTTGTGTATGACCAAACGCGTTCTCTTTTCTTTATAATAACAAAAAGTAAGTTTATTGATACATCCATAAACGTGATGGGTCCTGATATTTTATATTAATATTAATACATTAACCAAAAGCAAATGTGATAGATAGGACAATCTACTATTTTGTATTAACCAACTATGAAACTTACGTATGGCCAACTTTTTTCTTTTCCTTTTAAAAAAGATTTTATTTAGTATAATGACAGAGGTGGGTAATTTTCTACAAAATAAAATAGACCTAATGGTTATGAATGGCTAGAATCTTTTGATTTCATTGCTAGATGTTTATGATTAATGTGAGATTTTCTAGCATTTATCTTTTTCTAGTGCGTCCTCAGCGAGGATTAACGATGAGGCTCTGTTGGGCCCCTAATTAGTAATAGTAAGATTGATGAAACAACACATATATAATTATCCCTCATGCATGAATGTGTACTTAATTTGCATAATGACACAACATATATGTTTGCTTTAGTTAGTATTAATATGTCAATATTAGCAAAAGATTTTGATAATTTAGTTAAAGCGAATTGAAGGAATATTTTAGGGTCTTTTAATAATGGCAGAAGAGGTAACTTACATGTAAAATTAACGGGTACCTATATTATCCATCATAATAGCAGGTAGGTAAACAGATTCAAATTTAGATTTACTCTAGATCATATTTCTCAATGGCATCGGTGGACAATTCAAATATATATAGATTCATAGGTGAGTGTGTGACCTTATGTTGATTTACACAGTAGTAGAGGTGTGTAATTATTTAGAAAATAGAATATATCCATTGGATATTATTACCTATGGTGACTAAAGTTTACTAAATTGATGATCAAATGTTTTTTATTTTTGTGATAAATTCCAGGATTGATATATTTTTAGAGCAGACTTAGTGAGGATTTACATGAAGGCTCCATTAGGGACCTCCGGTGAGGATTAACATGAAGGCTCCATTAGGTACCTCTAGTTAGAATTTGTAGAATTTATTTTTTTCCTAATGCAGAGCTGTATTTAGTTCAAACTTAAGCTTAAGTTATGATCTCTTGTTGCATCCCTTTCTATGACATCATTTATTTATAGTTTAGCTTTTAGCTTTTAATCTAGTTGAATTTTTTAATCCACATGTTAAGTTAAAACTCTAGTGTTTATTATGTCTCTTATTCAAAATTTTTGTTTTTATTTTATTGAAAAGATTATAGGTCCTACACTATCCTCGTGTTCTTACAATGGCATAAATAGTCGTTTTAGCTTGCACCATGTAATTAGCATGTTAAATTTGTTATATTACATAATTATATTATTATAATTGTATGTGCAGTAGAATGTTTTTATAAGCATCACGAACTGTCAGGGTCATCGCTATGTATAAACTTCTTTAGAATTAACATTTTTTCATGCTTGATAAGCTATTAAAAAATATTTACACTAATGTATACTTGTTTACTTATTCTATGTGGTGGAACATAACATCATCTTTACTTTTAACTTAGGACAAAAAATATTACATAATTATATTTTTATAATTATAGGTGCAGTATATTTTTTTTGTTTACTTTTATGACATAGAGGTGGAAAATTTAGATACTAATTAAAATGTATAACTTCATACTTCTTTCATAATAGCATGTATAGGTAATTTGAAAGCCAATGTAGAGTTTACTTTGTATTATCTTTTATAATAACATATATGAGTATAATTTAACTACAAATTTAGAGGGTTATTTTCAATTATCTCTCATAATGATAGAAGTGGGTAATTTTTATATAAATTTAGGGATGTATTTTGAATTATCATTCATAATGGCAGAGGTGGGTAATTTATATGCAAAATTAGGGGTTACTTTATGTATTTTTTATAATGGCAGAAGTGGGTAATTTTTGATAAAATAGGATAAATCCAACGGTTATTATTGATCATGATGATTAGCGTTTACTAAATTAAAGGCCATATGTTTCTGATTATTGTGAGAATTTTTAGGATTTATCTTTTTTCTTAACGCGTCTGGTGAGAATTAACGTGGAGGCTCCGTTGGGGCCTCTAATTAGTAATAGTAAGATGAGCTACCACATAAACGTTTTTAATGATGTGGCAACGTTTTTAAGAACAAAGAGAGAAGAAGTGAGTTTCATAGGGATGGCAAT